AGAACACATCCTCTCCAGCAACCAACAACCAGATAAACAGGGATTAACACCAGACAAACAATCTAGCAGAAAACAATGCCCTAATCAAGGAACTACCAAGAAGAAAACCACATCCCCACCAATACTGTCAGGGCAAGCTATAGTATATAAATAGGGAGTAAACTCCACTCTCACTAGCACTGATGATATTACCTAATGAAATGTCTGTAAGCAAACAACCAAGCTCAGAGAGCACCAAGGACTCCAAAGATGAAATGTTTTAAGGCTCTTTGAGATCATCAAAATCACCTTACTGGTTTCAGTATCTTCAAATAAGTAGCATAGTCCAAAAGGAATTATAAAAATAAAGCAGAATACTTAGAGTTCACTGAATTTAGGGGGGGGGGGGAGAACGATGCAATACAAACAACATCTCTTTGGGCTATTTACAAATTGTTATTGAAATTCAGCTCAGAAACCAAACAAGTTAAAGACTGCATAATAAATGAATGCAGAATCTAAACAAGACAATTGAGATGCAACAATGGGAAGTTGAAGATAATATTACATTTAGCATGAGTATAACACTTAAAGAAAACTGGTACAAGATGTATTATTGTTGGTATATTACTTCACTACTGATTCCCAAAATCAATCATTTGTTTTCCAAAAATTGTTGGAAATGTAATAATGAGGTTGTAGCATTCTTTCTTATTTGGTGGTAATGTTATAAAGCTCAACAACTCTGGAAGATGATTTATTATAAAATGAAACAAATCTTAAAGGTGGAATTCTCTTTCCTGCCAGCTGATTTTCTATTAAACATCACCAAACCTTATATTCCTATAAAGTACACGGAGTTGGGTTTGTATATGATAAGATCTGCCAGTATACTTAATGCCCCTCTTTAGAAGAATGGCAAATTAGACTGTGGGAATATGTATCAATGTCAAAAATAATTTCATATTTGAAAAATAAGTCTGATACAGAATTTAATTCAACTTAAAAACTATAGACTGTAATTTTATAAATGGACTTGTACCAAATCCAAAATTTGGTTTCTCTAAACATAAGGCTTTAATTTATTAGCTCTTGCTTCAGTTGTTAAATATAAATCAGATAGAAAGTCTTATTAATTGTTTATTTTGACTTATGTGGCTACCTTTGACAATTATAGAATATCAACTTGATCTTAATAATGGTTCTGATCAATCTTACAGGCAGCACTAATCTAATATTGACTTTGAAATTTTTACTCAGTTTGATATAGCTTGTAAATCTCTTCTATTTTTTTTAAAAAATGAATATATTGAAAAATTGAAATAAAGCTCAGTTGCATGTTATGCTGACATACACTGCGTACATACAAAATGATTACATTTCTTAAATTTGTTAAAGTGTCCTCAGAAAATGTATATGGAAGTCAATATGTGCTTGAGTCCAGAAAGCATATCCTTTCCCTACCATCTAAATACATCATGTCATCTACTTCTGGGTTGCCTTAAAGTTATACAATAGACCAACTAGGTTCAAGTGCTTTTTTAAAAATCTTATTTTTCC